TGGTTGTAACGGAGTACAAGTACTCCGGTACTTGTACTGTACTCCGGTACATTTTGAGAATCACTGCTTTTACTGTACTCCGATACTTTTTATAAAAGTACTTTTGAGTATTTTTAAAGTACATTTTGAGTACTTTTGAAGCTTAATGAAAGGGTAAGTGCCGGCATTTCAGATCTTAATTTAGGGAACAAACGCTCAGGCGGGGACAGCCGATCAACCAAGAGTTAAAACTTGAGAACAAAGAACAGCCAGTCGCGTCAAAGATCAGCCTCTCTCGTGAATGTGATCACAGGCGTTGTAAAACTCCATGAAAAGGTACAATGTTTGCTCCAGACGGGATCACACCGAGGTGTGAACTGACCGATGCTTTTCTTTTCCCCAACCATCGCACTCGCACCTGAGCTCGCCAACTAAACTTACATCACTGGCTGGGTGGGTAGGGCCTACGAGTTCGCTCCAGGCAGGATCACATCGAACTGTGACCATTGAAGGCAGTTTTTCCTTATTCCCGAATTTGAGAGACAGCCTGAATTTTAATTGGTCTGGTCATAGCGTAATGGTGCGTAATGACAAAGGCGGGGGGACTCAATCAGAGACGAAAGGCTAAAATATTTGGACAGGTAAAGGGGAGGGGCAACTGGATAAACATAGATAAAGATCTCGAGACTCACGATAGGCTAATGAGTGTATATTATGCATGCCTCATGCCACCACGCAACTGTGATTGGTCATCAAGGTTGACCACTCTTTGCTCGCCAAATGTCATAAACCCACCCAGGGATCACGTCAGTTCATGGGTCACTGTTGATTCTTCCTTGGCTTCGTCGGCTAAGATCCCGTATTTCCCTTGTTCCCGAGCTCTGGGATCTTAGGCGGAGACTACCGTAGAAGACAATCTTTGGTTATACTACACTTACTAGACTCTTGGAAACTACATGTACTTTGGTTTGCCATGGGCGTCGTGGACCGCACAGTGTGACCAAAATCTGTCTTACCACTATTATAATCAATTGAAACTGAAACTGAGTTTTCAGTGTATATCTAACAATTTTTTAGGCTATCTAAATTTCTTTTTAACTTTTTGTTGTTGTTTATGCTTAAGGCCACCTTGATTCCTTGAGGATTTGTTAATGAAGAATTCAAGGCACTTTTCCATTTCTTTGCTGGCCATTTTCATCAATTCTATGTTTTTTAAGAGCAACTCGTCTCTACATTTTCCAATTTGGATACTTTTCCTACTTTCCGACCTCTTGGATTGACTTACATTTTGATCGCGTTGTCTCTGCTCAAACAAGTTTTATTCATAATATTTGTCAAATATACTGGATATGTTATTTAATAAGAAGTTTTGTGTTGGCACTGAAGTGTTTTAGCATATTAGCAGAAAGTACTCAAATTGTACTCATAAGTACTTTTTTAAAAAGTACTTGTACTCAAGTACATTTTACAGGAAAGTACTTTTACTGTACTTAAGTACACATTTTAGATTGTACTTAAATTTGTACTTAAGTACCTTTTTAACTCATTCTCTACGCCGAGCCGTGGGGGGGTGGCGCGGCTAATGTGCCGTCAGTACGCTGAGCCGTCCCCTGCGGCTCGAGAACCGATCTTCAATTTTAGCTTAGATTCTATTCCAATCCACATATCCATGTTAAAATAAAGGTCATAATATAATGTTGACTTCCGAGTCAAGCATTTCCACTGAAAATCGGAAGTTTAGATTCAGTTTTGAAACGCGATTTCGTAGTTTATTCGACTTTGTATCGCGATGCCAAAATTATAACCCGGACACCCGTTTTAGTAATTTTACACAACAAAATCTATCATTTTTTGGCCCACTAAAGAAGTGTGAAAGACTCTTTTTTATAATATTGATACGATTAGACTCATATTGCCAATGCACTGTTTTATTGAAAAATCAATATTTTTGAGTGACAGATCGAGGTCTAGATCTAGATCTAAATTGTCAAAATATTTTTTCTCCCCAAAATCACTACTTTTTGATGAAATTACACAAAAAGTGCCACTCAAGACATGTATAGGTTTATTCCAAATGCAATTCTGAATAATTCCATATTAGATACGAGTGGGTTTTAATCTGTTTGTGATCGTTTTTCAAGATTATAAAAATTTTTTTTTTTCAATATCGGATGTTATGATCCAAATGTACAAATATTATGGAATGTATGTAAATAACTACAAACTTTTCAATATTTTCCAGTTCTATATTCATTTATGGTTATTTTGATGTATCATTTGACAACAAGGTGCAAGCATATTTTTTTGAGTTTCACCAAAGATTATAAAGTTTTTATTTTCAAATTTTATCTGCATCCAATCAAAATTGTGTTGCATAATCGCCTCTTACAGGAACCAAAGTTGAAAAATACATAAATAAACATTACAGATGTATTCTACAATTCATAGTGAAAATATTGGTATATAATATAATATGTTGATATTTATTTTAATTTGTGGCCCCAAAGACCTTTTAACTGCCCACTAGTCATCATCTCATTCGCCCTCCCGAAAAAAATTCGTCCACAACCTGAAAATAATACGTAGCGAATGAGTTAAAAGTACTTTAACAGCTCTGGTCACAGCCCTCTATGGAACTCCTCCAAAAGTAAGAATAATATGCATGATAGCAATGAAACTGGCACTCCTGTACAATTGCGGTCCCGTTAGATCTAGCACTAAATCACAAAGCAAAGACTACAGGATATCGATACTGATTGAAGTGTTCGGTATTGATGTTTTATCAGTAGATCTTGCCTACAAAATGGCAGTAAAATTTCACGTTCTTGTATACAAGGCAAAGGGGGTGTCAGGAGGAGGGCACGTAACAAAAACATGGGGGGTTTCAGGGGGACATGCCCCCCTGAATTTGACCATAATTTGATGTTTTACAATTAGGTTTAATTGGCTGGCTATCCCTCCATAGGCCTATCGGCATGCGCATCAAAAAGTAATCGTTTAAAACCAGAAGTAATCATTGGTTGGGTCAAAACGAGTGTACATCTAAACGGGACCGTAATTGGGTGATCTTATACTTTAGCACGTTAAATTTTTAAATTGATTTTATCTAGATTAGTAGATCTAAGCTATCATAGTAGTAGTAGGCTAGAGGTCTATCTATAGATCTATCTATCCCGCCACACACATGCACACACAACGCGCGCGCGGACCTCTAGCCTATGATAGCTAGAAAATCAAGGCCACCTCTATTCTCATCCCGGGTGAGAATAGCGCAGGCGAGTCTTTCGGCTATTCTCACCCGGTGTGCGTTCACCGTTATAGCCTAGGCCAACCAGTGTAGCGTTCACCCTGAACCACAGAATTCTACACTGTGATAACACAGAATTGTAGAATTCTGTGCCGTGAACAAACGTTCCATTAACTAAGCTGTTAGCCTAAAAGCGTGCTGTGGGGGAGACAGAGATTGAGAGAGAGAGAAAGAGAGAGAGAGGAGTAGCACGAGAACTTCCGGGCAAAACAAAATGGCGACCCGCGTAGTTCGGCTCGATTCGAAAAAGTTAAATAGCCGTAGCATCTTTGTAGACGACCAAATTCCAAATTAATTTACTTTTGTGTTTTAACATCATTTTTTAACTTTGTTAAATTTTGGTCAATTTGATCAGTATTCCGAAATGAGGAAAAGGCCACCTCTATTCTCACCCCGGGTGAGAATAGTGCAGGCGAGTCTTTTGGCTATTCTCACCCGGGGCGCGTTCACCGTTATAGTCTAGATCTAGATTAGGCCAACCAATTTTGCGTTCACCTTAAACCACAGAATTCTACACTGTGATAACAGAAAAATTGTGAATTCTGTGTCGTGAACAAACGTTCCATTACTACTGTTAGCCTACTAAAAGCGTACAATTTTGTCTGAGGGCAGTGGAGAGAGAGAGAGAGAGAAAGAGAGAGAGAGAGAGGAGTAGCGCGAGAACTTCCGGGCAAAACAAAATGGCGACCCGTGTAGTTCTGCTCGATTTGAAAAGTTAAATAGCCGTAGCATCTTTGTAGATGACCAAATTAATTTACTTTTGTGTTTTAACATCATTTTAAAACTTTGTTTTGGTCAATTTGATCATCCACACCGATAGACAGTATTCAGAAAGAGATAGATCTAAAGAGAAAAAGGGGAGGAGTAGATCTTCCGGGCAAAACAAAATGGCGACCCACGTAGTTCGGCTCGATTTGAAAAGTGAAATAGCCATAGCATCTTTGTAGTCGATAAAATTAGCTTACTTTTGTGCTATAACGTAATCTTTTCTTTGCCTTTATCCATTTGATCATCCACATCGATAGAAAGTATTCCGAAATTAGGAAAAACAGGTCTTGTTTCACACCGGGTGAGAATAGCCTACGGTGGCAAGTCTCACCCGGGGTGAGAGGTCGATCGTATTTTTAATCTCACCCCGGGTGAGGATAGCCACTTCTCAATACTAAAATCAATTGAAGAATTTAACGTGCTAAATAAAGTATAAGATCACCTGCAATTGTACTGACATGTAATATCTTATCTAGATCTATGACTATGACATGTAATGTACATGAGTGCCATGAAACTAGGGGAAACAATAGATCTAATCTAGATCTAGATCTAGATTCTAGATCTAAATCTAGGCCTGGACCTGATCTATCTCCTATCATTTCATGAATTATTCATTCATCAAGCTCAAGATCAAGTCATCAGTCAATGCCAATGGCAATGATTCAAATGATTGCCAAGCTTGGGCCTTGGGCATTGGCTTGGGCCTGGGAAGGAGGGGGGGTGGTGCTAAAAAAAGCCAACGTGATACAAGTATCTCCAACAAACCTGAAGAACACTGTTCTAAACATCTGATGTGCTTCGTAAAAGTTTCCTTCTATGATACAAGCCTCACATTTAGCGAGTACACGCTCAACACCACGGGCAGCCATTTCTTTCGTTCGGAACAGCAGCAAAGGTAGGGCCAACAGAGGCCTAACAGCAGCAGCACGACCGACACTAAAAGCGGAAGAAGGGAAGGGACCTCTGTTATTGTAAAAGTTGTATTTTTATGGACGTTACGTGTGTAGCTCTAAAGAAGAAACAAAACAATATTAATTCAATCACACATGATGATGTAAACAAGTAAACATTCACACTGGCATATTATTTTGTGCGCAAATTCAGGACTGCATGAGATTCAAATCTTGACGGTGCCTTCGTCAACATTGGTCTCTTCTCTGAACTTGTCTGAAGTAGGAAAGGTGGACAAATTCTAATATCTAGATCTAACCATTCCTTTCTGAGGTCCCAACCGAAGGCGAAGGTAGCCGCAATGATGATTGTTGTTGTTGTTGTTGTATTTCGCCTGGGGGGGTTCTTTTTCTTTCTTTTTTTGCTGGTTTTGTGCAAGGGTGGTGACAATGAAACGAAATGTGTCTGACAAGGATGAGTGCTATGGTTAAACTAACACGTACATGGGTCGCCACCACTTGGACAACGAACAACAACGCTTCTGTCACAAGTTCATGTCGATGTCCTTTGTTACTTTTTACAGACTGGGTAAACAGTGACCACTCGTCTCACTTATGATTTGTGTATGAGTTTTGGGTGGGGGCTTGTGGATTATGAGGGATCACCCACTTACCTCACCAGCAGTGAAAATTTGTTACCAATTGGTCAACAGTAGGAGAGGCCTACGCAACATGATCGGTTGGAGGGACTACCTAACAACGACAGGTGATTGGATTATGACAACTCGCCCACAGCGCCAGGGGCCAATGCACAATTTATGACAAAACGTAATGGAGTCACTAGGTGGCTGTTTAAGACAGTTGTTATTACTTGGTGTGATACGGGTTGTGTGAACATGTTAAAATATGGTGGCCGTTGCCGCGTTGGACAGATGCCGGTTTTGCACTGTTAAATTATATAGAAACGCAAGGGGGGGAATGGAAAGTGGCCGTTTGTACAGGTGGCCGTCAGCAGGGCAGGTTCGACTGTATTCAGAAAAAAAGCTTATATATGGACAAAACAAAATTTTAAAGAGAATAGAGTTTTCACGTCAAATGCAACAACGGGTTAGCATTGTAGGCCTCTAGCCTCTAGGTACCAGAAACTAAATTTTCAAAGTAGTTGTATGTCACATTTGTCTGTTCTGTATAAAAGGCCTGTGTCTCGAGAACCAGTGATTTTTGGTACCATGCTTTTACCTCTCAGTCAATTTTAAAGAAAATGGCAGCTGTTTTAATTCGGGTTCGAATATTGCTAAATCCACTAACTGGCTGCAATCCCATGTTTGACAGATTATATAATAAAAGAGTACCAAGTGCACCAAACATCCTCATTAACACATTTCCGCCTCATCTCGCCGATCGGCTATGTTTACCTCCCAATTTCTTTGGATTTTCCCCAAAATGTGATGGCAAAGTGTTAACAGAGTACAATCAGTATAACATAGAAATGGAGCCTAATTTTTTTTTCAAGATTGTATGAGATCATTAGAAATCAGTATTTTATTGCCTCAGGTACGAGTACGATAATCTGTCAATATTTCGATAAAAAAACCCGAGCGGGCGTCGGCTCTTTTATAATGTACTGAGTGCTCCTCTGAGTTTCGTGGAAGGATTGACAAGATGCAAAATAATTCCAAGCCGATGACTTTATTAAATTCTAATAGAAAAAGAACTGTTCTTTCTATTGCTACCTTTTTTGATTCGATATTTTACTTAATTTTAGTTTATAATGATCTTTGAAAACTTGTACGCTTTTTAAAAGGATTTCTATATATAAATGCCAAAGGTCAAAAGTATGCCATGGGAAGCCCCGTTGAAAACTCTAAAGAAGTTGTTTATCTATGAAAAGACGTTATTTAATCATCTCTCTTTCTTCAAGTGAAAAGCATTCGAATGCATGCTGGGTGTCAATTTTTCAACCGGCAGCCCTCGCATTTGGACCGCGAGGGGCTTCGCTTTTCACAGTGATTCTCTAGCTCTAAATATAAAAAAACAAAAACAAATTACGCTCTTGTAAGGAAAAAAAGCTAAACCTTTTTAAGGTGTACAGCATTTGTGTGTTATTGCGAAAGAGCAAAGAAAAAGCTATCTGAATTACCTTTATTTCACAGAAACCACGCACTCGGAAATCCGCGAGTCGGCTTAGTGCCTTGTTTACGCTTCCTAATTATACGTTTGCAATAGCACTATAAACACAAGAGCACACGCACACATACA